TTGTCTCACTGCTTCTTGGAGATGCTGGAAAAGCCAGAATGGCCAGAAATTATGATTAAGAGAGTAAGGAAAACAATGTGCAGGCAACTCTGAGTCTGAACTTAGCTGTTAAGTCTAATCTGAAAGGCTTCAGAAGGTGCTGGCTTTAAACGTGATCTAATGACACATTTGGTCCTTTGGGTGTCCTGGCTGAAAGCTCAACCTTCATTCTGACCAGTCCTAAACCACAGTGCCTGCTGTGGGTCAGTTCCCATGCAATGCCACCTTCACACCTGCAAGAACCTCAGATRAAATCAAACCATGGCCAGAAAGGTTCTGTTGGACCCAGAATGAGACAGATGAGGGTGACAGGGTTAACAAAACCCGCTTGAATCAGCCAGACAACTCATCTTAAATCCTGTACAGACCTGAGGGCTGCCCTGAAGTCCCTCCCCAGGGAATGAACCCTGCCAGACCAAAATCGTTAGTAAGGAACCCACTAACCACAGCAGCTCTAAACTTAGCAGCTACACASCAACTCAAAATCCAGGCTCCACCCAGCAATGGAACAAACCATGACCCCAAATGATTCTTAGCACTGGAGAAGCTGCTTTTGCCAAGCACAGAGCCATGTATAACAAGATGGTTGTGACAGCACCAGGTCTAACCTTCATTTCATTCAGAATCCTGGAAAATCTTGGCTCCCAACTCCAGGGCAACAGTGAGCAGCACGTGGTAACTGTTGGTAACAGCACACAATCTTGTTTTCCTGTCAGGTCCTCTGTGCCATGCTGTGACATAACTAAAACCAAATCCCAGCTCAGCACCAGAGAAATGACATCTGCCACCACCCAAATTTACACAACAGCCTTGGATGTAGCTATGCCACTGAATATACACATCCAGGAGAAACCAGGATCCTCCTGTGACACCTCAACAAACTCTGAATGATCCCTAACCTGAGGTGACCAAGCACAACCTAAACTTTCCTCAACAGCTCCTTTAAAAGCTTGGCTGTCTACTGATTCCAGCTATAACATTGCWCTGGTGTTAAATATCCAGGATTTGGTACTGTTGCCATCCTTGCTTGGTGTAMTTTAAGAGCAGAGTCAGAGTTCCCAGTGATTTTGGTCATTTACAGTGTTTTYGGATAATTTTGGGGGTGATATAAATCCAGATATATCCAAACTATCACTAGTAAACATTTTCCCTGTGTATGACCTAGGTGTGCATTTCTCTACCTTTATACAAAAACTGTTTTCCTCTCTGTCTGCTAAAAATTGAATATAAAAAGGCAAAGACCATCCACATCCAAATCCTGTTCTCAGTTATCTGTTGCAAAGGTGCATAAATCCAGAAAAAAAAAAATCAAATGTAACTGCTAAAAATGGTTGAAAGACGATAGGGAAAATATGATTCTATTTCTTTGTTCTGACAACTGTGTCCAAATGCTGGGTTTTGATGTCTCACCAGACAAAGCTGTTGCTGGCACAAGGAAATTGCTCACCAATGTGTTTCACTTGTAATGAGCTGCTAATATAGGTGCAGTTGCTTGAAAATTGAAAACAATCTCAAGACCTCCCATCCTCCACCTGTTTCTTACATCTGACATCAGCAGCACCTTGTGGGTGCAGGGACACATTTCTTGGAAAATTTTCTCTACACAGGAGCACTTTAAACCCTGGCTTTTCACACCAAGCCAGAAGTACACCCTAAAA